GTTTATTTATTTATTAGACATGATTTCTGGAAGTATCGACTCCGGCTCTGGGTCTGGTGGAACGGACTACTCTGGCTCTTATGGCACAGACTCACCTCCACCAGTTACAGCTTCACTGTGTAATGACGAATACGTTATTCACCCCGGTGTACTCATCGACATCACATCACCGAATTATCCATTACTCTACGCTGATAACCTCCAGTGTACCTGGGGCGTATCGACGTCGTCAGGAAAACCAATCATCGTGGAATTCAAGTTTCTGGCACTAGAAACGGGCTATGATTTTCTTGTGATCCTCGACATTGTTGGTGCAATTCAGAAACAGTACACAGGAGGTCGTATTCCCGCTCCCTTCATATCAGCTGGTTCGCAAATACGTTTACAGATGATGACCGATGATTCAATACATTTTGGCGGATTTCGGGTGACGGCTAGGGAGTTCGAAGGTGAGAACTTTGTCTCATCCTTAAATTGATGGACATAATTGAAGGACATAACATGGAGTCTAGATCAAATCTATCTGCCCATATATAATTCTGACCAGTCTTAAAGGGCGGTGGTCTTCGCGCAGCGCGTGTTCGAATTTCATGTAAATAAACAATGTATTTTACACGCGTTGTATACGTCGCCATGAGTTCCATATCGAACAGGACGCGGCACGACGACTGCCGCCCTTTAAGTTTTATTTCCTTCGAAATTACCGAGTTTTCAACAAATATTTCATGCTTTTTATGGTAGCGAGACGTGTTGGAATATATAGGCAAATCATATCATAGTTAGTCGGGCACAATTCCAGTATTTTCCTGATGGTCCAAATATGCATGTGTGTTAATTTTTTTTGTGTTGCTAAACTCCTCACCTACTTAGAAATACATTATTATCTGTGTAGAAATCACGTAAAAAGGTTTCCTTGTCACTCCCAAAACATGTCTAATGGGGTGAAACCAAAACAGGGATAGCCTATCGCCCGCTCACATGGTTTAGTATCCGTTCATCCCTCTTCACGATATGTGAAAACGGCAAGCTTAAAGCGGGAGTGTCGTCACCTGCGCACACGCGTCAATTGAGTCCCAAGCGACGATAACAACACACGCTAAAAACGCAAAGGCTCGCGGGTAGACGCTTGTTTGTAAACAATGACACGCTATGGCCATCTGACGCATGCGCAGGTGGCGACTCCCCCGCTTTAAACATTATACACTTTGTCATTAAGTACATAGATTAAACATAGCGGTTCATTAAGCCGGATTTATAAATTGGTGAACTAATCAAATGGATAGTTAGGGGTTGTTCATTAGAAACACGACGGGTGTAAGAATCATATGCACAGAACCAATGTTGAAGACAAAAAAATAACAGGAAAAATTCCAATATTATTTATTAGATTTATTATTTATTAAAAGTATTTATAAAAAAATAACACCACAAACTTACATAAATCTAAGCGAAGGACAAAAATAATGTGCAAAAACTCCCCTCAAAAATTTCAAAATTGTTGTCGTGTATAGCGTGTAAAACTGTTGCAGTCACTCCAATAGAGGGCGCAACTAATATTTCATATTGCTCTTTCATATTTTATAGTGACGATGAACATCTCATGTGATGCAGTGGAGTAAACACTTAGCGGTTTTATTTTTATCAATTTATGTTTTATTTTTATGTTAATAGAGCCAATTGCTACAACTCGTGCATCTCCCTCGTCAAGGATTACACGGGTAAGCGACATTGAACGGACACTGTCAACAACAATTAACACTGCATCAGTTGGCATGACAACTCCATCCAATGCAGGCTGTGAGAGGCATTACAACTTGGCAGTTAATGACGTCATATACATCACTTCGCCAAACTTTCCTGATTACTATACGAACGACCTGAATTGCCTGTGGACGTTTGCAACCGTTGATGGCGCTACATTGAGTGTCAACCTTGTTTATTTCGAGACAGAGGACCTATATGACTACGTGGATGGAGGGACTGGTTCCCCATTAAATGGCAGTATATATATCGACAGATACAGTGGAACATATCACAACCACCCCGTCATGCTACCTTCGTCTCGTGGGTGGATTTCCTTCACTTCCGACTCTGCTTACCGAGAGCACGGCTTCAATATCAGTGTGACCGCACTAGGCACCGACGGTGGGTGAAATTAAAGTATTACAAACGTTTTGTCAATAGTTAAACAAACTACGGCTTAAATGTCATTTTCTTATTTTTATCTATGTGACATTTGTTGTCACAAAAATGAATAAATGTTTACGATCCTATAGCAAGAATACAATTTCAATAAATTCGCGGGTGACAACTGGTGAAAGCAAGTATTGATATTTAAATATTATAAAATAGATATTATTAAATTGATTTTAATGATGAAAAGTGTTTTCATTGTAGTATGTAAACACCGCTGCTAAATTGTCAATTTGTCTTATGCTTATTATTCGGCAGTTTCAATTAATAAACACATTGGCGGTGAGTTAAGGTAGCGAGACTATTATTTGCATACTTGTTTTCATCTTCTAATTGTGACTAAATGACTACAAATAGACCCGGGAAGTATATATTTTTAGAATCGCCAGACTTCAAACTTTTCACAAGTGTATTTTGCATGCCC